CTACTGTACTTCACACAGCTCTTCAGTCTTAACAACCATAAAAAAAAAAAAAAGTCTACACTCTCATAAGTGGTAATTAACCTTGAAAATTAACAATCTTACCAAAATCTTCATTTCTAATTCTTTATAAAGCTTTAAAACATACAGTTTGCACACAAATTTATTCATTCATGAATTCTGAAACAAAGCATAACACAGTGGAACCTCGAAATGAGAGCACCTCTACATATGAGAAATTCAAGATCTTTGAATTTCAGAGGAAAGGATGAGGAAAAAATTTGTCTCTAAATAAGAGCACTGACTTGAGTAATGAGCCAGGCTGTTGTGGGGGCGCATTTCCCTCACCAGTTCTTGATCAATGTTTTGTCACTGTGATAATTGTTTTTATATTTAACATGAAAATAATTATTTTACAATGCCTCCAACGAAGACTGTTGCCTCAGTTGCCTCATATAGTGCTGCAAAGATAAAGAAGGAAGCCATGGCTGTTTAAAAAAGATCATAGAAAACAGGCATAGTGTAAAACCTGCGTATATAAGAGTATGGAATGGCAAAGACTATGGCCGCTCGATATCGATCACACTATTCTAAGAGTAAGGAAGAAATTAAGAAATTTGATGTGGCCAAAGGTGTTACCGTTATTTCCAAGCATTGTCCAAAACTCCTAGAACATATTGAAAAGCTGTTGTTGGTGCGATTAACAAAAAGCAGTTAAAAGGCTATTCGGTTGCGGAAGCTATCATTTGCGCTACGGCTAAAAATCGTACTTGGATCTTCTCCGAAAAACACCAGGTATATTTACTGAAGTTGAAATAGAAATGAAATTTTTCGGGGTGCGGAATGGATAACTGGATTCCATATTGGTATTCTCCATTTTGGCCGGGCAGGCATTAAAAGTCCAATGGTCAACCGAGCCAACAGAATTAGTTCACTTTTAGCCCAAGGCCATTCATTCGCAGCAGTAATAAGTCATTAGGATGAACACCCACTCACCCGATGCGAAAATCTAGAAAAGCAAATAGGGGTAATTCTCATTCATGGAACTCACTAGCAAATGCCTGCGGGTTCTATTCTGAGTAAGCTATCGAAGAAGTTAAATAATTCTTGCTTTAACTGCATTCCAAATTAAAATTTACCGGAAAATGATGTAATATTACGGCAGAATATTATTTAGCCAGAATTTCTAAAAATAGTATAAATAATCTTTATTAAGAAAGCCTTTTTAGATCCGCTATTGGGTTTCACTTAAAAAGAAGATAATAATTTAATATAAAATCATATTTATAATCAAATTTTTGGTCAGTTCATGCTATATTTGTTACTGACCAAACTTAATGAACCTGGGGTCACATTATCACCCGATGTAACAAACTCAGCAAGTATTACATATGATCAACCAAGTTTCATGAAAATACATCTTAACTTAAGCAATGCTTTATATGTTTCCTTTCTTTAAATTCATTTGCTAGCTTTACTTTGTAGCATTTTAATTTTACAGAACTTCTATTTTTGACTGTCATCTGATAGTAGTAACTGCTGACTTACCCAAGATATGCAAAAGCCTAACTAATGAATGCTTAAGTTTTGTATTCATTTTATTGCTTGACTTTTTCCCAGATCTCCGAAGTTTGAAATAAAAATAGATATACAAGATGTTTATAAATGAATAGTGACCTTTTAAAAAAAATAAATAGATGTATTATTTTATACAGCAATCTTACAGCATAAGCAGTAGCAACTGCCCAAGATTTTTATGCATTAATCACAATCTTTCACACATTAATCACAATCCTTGGTACACATATCTAAATGGTAATCAAATTCTTCCCATACTCGGTGTAACACATCCGCAAGTTTTTTATCTGACTACAAATTTCCTCAACGGACACAGGCGATGGCAGTCAGAAACTCTCTCTTTAACAAACCTCCAAAGAAAGAAATGGCATAGTGTTAAATTTGGCACACGCGATGGCCAGGGGAAAAGGTTATTCTCTGCTGTTGCAACATGTCCAATCCAGCATTGGTGAAGAACCCGATTAAGAAGCTCTTGTACATTCCTGTGAAAATGGAGCGAAGCACCATCCAGTTGCAAAACATAATCATCATAACTGGTATTCACCTAGGGAAACAACCAGGTTTCCGACATGTCTACAAATGAGTCACCAATCACAAAAAAAATTCAGAGGCACAACAGCCCTAGTGGGCCACGGCCTGCAGTGTCACAAATTCTGCTTTCTTGACCTTGGGCCCCGGAATGCATCAGCCTATGCTCTGGGCAAGTGGTCAGCTTGTTGCAGGATCCCTGGTGTTTAGTCCTGAAGTGAACTTGTTACTCATTTTATTGACCCACTCAAGGGATGAAAGGCTGAGTCAACCTTGCCCAGCCTGGGAATCAAATCTAGAACCTGCGGTGCAGCTGCATGACTAGCTAGCCACTTTGCCACCGGGCAGACAATCAGTTTCTTGTTGAAGAAAAATGGGCTATGCACTTTCTTGTGGGACATCACACAGAAAACATGCATCAAACTCATGCTGTACTGAAACCACAGATCTGGATACTTTGAAAAGGACCACACAGAAAGCCTTTTCCTGTAGCGGCACCATCTTGGAAATTGATGCTGTGGAGTAAGCATGACAAGCAAACAGCAGATAGCACATGAGAAACTTGGATAGTCGACATTGCTTACTGTGTAGGTTTTAGACAAGTAAGAAAATACATTGATTTATTATTAATTTTTAAAACTGCACCATTCATTTATAAACATCCTGTATATCTTAAAAGATGAAAATTACATATATACCTAGATAATGAAGATTTTTTTAAATTATTAATACTGTTTTAGCATGAAAAAAGTCATCTCAGAACTTCCTTATTTTTACACCCCTCCCCATTTTGTAAAAGACACGAAGATTAGCGATGAATTGCTACCACACACCATTTTAAAAGGCCAGCACTCTTAATAATGATCATGTAGAGTTTGTCTGCAACAAGTAAAACTCTGAGTAAATCTCATGTTACAGAATTTTCTTTCTTCATACAAATGTTAACAATTCACGATCACAAAATTATCTCCACCAGAAAAGCTCCGAGTATTCAACATGTTAGCGTACTTTCTACTTTAAAAAAAAAATGTTAGTAGACTTTAAGGTACCCCTTGTATTATGGCGCGTGTTGTTCATTTATGTAGCCTGAGTAGTGAATGTTATGGACCCTCTTGGACGTAATCATGCCACCTGGGAATTTTTGAATCATGGGATGTTTTTAAGCTTTTTGGTGGGTGCGTTAAAACCGTTAGAGGATGTGAATGGTTGTAGGAAAAAAGGGCAGGGTCACTAGTGAAGCGTCGTCAGAAAGAGTCCGGTTGAAAAAAGTCTTTGAGTATGATATTTTGATTATACGGGCTGGTGTCTAGCGAACTCAAAAGCATAGTAAGTGACTATTGCTATTTGCTGGTATATATATGGTAAGTGCTTACTGTATAACCTGTTGCCTTTTATGTATTTATGCTGTTAAAATGAGTATTGAGAATAGTATTTTTGTTTGCCTGTAGGTAGACTTTGGTGTCTTTGACTTTAAGTAAAAATATACGATGTGTATGGACAAAGTAAGGGAGTCGCACTGCAAGTTTTGCACTTCTCGGATTTTTTTTTTTTTTTTTCATGTGAAATAGGTCGACGTCAGGAAAATAGAGTGCGCGTGCCATTTTATGCATTCGGGGGGGGTTAAGTGAAATAAGTGGATTGTACATGGAACGAGTTGTGCAACTGTTGTTTTTATTTCGCTTTTGTAGCGGATTTTGACCAAAAAATCGCCGTTCACAGCCAAATAAGATACAGAATGACAAACTCGTAGCCAGTACCCAAAAATCGCCAAGTTTCGCCAAGGAGAACCCTAAACTATACTTTTACCGATGATGTTATATCTTTTTTCCAAGAAAGAAACACTTTCTTGCATTTGAATAATGCAAATATGCCAATTAAATAAAATGACATATCAATAAAAGTATTTGAAGATGCTATGTGAAATGCTCAAAGGCAGAGAGAAGTACGGAATTTAACATTGATGGGTTTCCCTCCAAACTGGTCAGTTGCTATTCTTGTGGAGTTAAAAAATTAATTAATTAAATTTTAAAAAAATGCTTCAATGGGTTTAGAATATGTTTGCAATAGCACAGAAATTTATTTACTGTTGGACAGAAGAAATGACATCTATTAAGAGCTGGATAAAGCAACTCGGCTTTTACGAAAATATGACTACTGATTTGAAGAGTTTATGAGAGAGGTATATTCTCTACATCTAATCCAACAACCAAACAAGTAAATATGTGGCTCTGAAAAAATTACTGACATAAATGAAAATCTATTCATACAGGAAGAAAACAAAGTCAGCAAGATTCTTCCATAATACTGGATATTTGACCAGTTATGGCAAGAAACTGGTGAATTCTTTCCCGCTCACATTCTAAATAGAGAGATAATGACATCCATGGCAAAAATCACTGATCATGTTAAAGAGGAATTGACAATTTATTCAGATAGTTGGTGAACATACAAAGTAGAGAAGCTGTAAAACAAGTTAAGTGATATTTTATCATGAACCATAAATTTAGTTTAGTTGATCTAACAACAGGTACTCACATACAGTGGTACTTTGCCAAGCAGCAGAATAAAAATCAATGAGGCACAGTTTGTCACTATTGCAAGTCTTACCTTGTGCAATTCATGAGGTGACAGTAGCTGGGACTCAAAAATGCTACTGATGCCATATTAAAAGCAACTATAGAAATAGCAGCTACAAACTGTACATGAGAAGTAAATTTGAAGCAATAATCCTGGCACAAACCTGACATTTAAAAATTGACAGTTGTAATAATAAAGAAGTACTGTCACTTCTTTATACTTGTTAAGCACTTAGTAAGACAAAATACACATTTATAAAAATTTTAAATACTATTGGCACTACTGGCCATAAATCAGCAATAAAAATTAACATCAATTACCTTGGTTGGAGAAAATTAACTGTAAAACAAGAGGACGTCTTGTTACAATACCAGAGCCCCTTGGCAAAAAATCTCTGGAGAAAAAAAAATGAACATTAAAAATAAATTCATTGACATATTAAAACATAATATGCAGTTTATAATATAAAACATATTTATAGAACTTATTTACTTAAAAAGGCAACCATATGCAATGGAAAATCCAATAAATGGATTTAAGGCAAATTTTAAATAGAAACATTCACCTAAATACAAGGCCAAGTCTAACAAACTACAGAAACATACAATAATTAATCATTTTCATTTCAAAATTTTTCCATATTTACATGACTTAAGCATAAACAATAAAAGTATTAAAAATGTAAATTAAACTCCAACTTTCTAATGTAATAAATATGACAGTTGTAAGGATTTTGTACAAATTGCCAATATATTTTTAAATATTACTTGAAATTACTTAAATTCCTTGCATGTTGTTTTGATCAAATAAGCATTACTTCACAATGCCTATATAAAACAGCAATGTGATTTTCCTTAAAATTCAAAGTAATACTTCAGCAAATTATTCATTCCATTAAAAAATTATGCTGTGTTAATTTATCACTAAAAATAAATTACAAACTTTGATCATACAACATTTTCTAATTTATTTTTTTTAATTATAACAAACATTTCATTCATCTTATTTATTCACTACCAATAATTTAGTTTATTAGCAATTTACAATAATTTTCAGATATTTTCAATCAGATATATACAGAAGATAAAAAATATAAAAAAAGAAGGCAAAATGCTGTATAAAATTAGATTTTTATCATTACTGGATGTACTTTTGCTTTGCTTCTTAAAAACATCTAACAGATACAACAGAAAAATAAGCACATTAATAAATAGCTAAACTATAACTTCCATACAAGACAAAAGCAAACAGTGATGAATGCTAACGTACAATCGTCAGTTTTCGGCTGAAATGAATACATTATATACATACAAACTTAGGAAGATTATAAAACATGAAAAATCAATCCTATGTAAACAAAGCAATGCGTTTTGCTTGAAATCACTACATATTATTCACAAAAAACACGATAAATTGCAGAATATATTACTCAAACCGTAATAATATCTTTTTATTTTTCAATCTTTTCATAAAATGTAAGCAATTTTTCACGCGCTCATAAATAGAACTGCAAGCTAATAATGCAAAATTTTTATTCTACCTTAAAAAATAACACCTGATGCAAAACAATAAGTAAAGAAGCTAATTTCAGTTAATAAATTTATTTCTTACTACAGTAACTTGTAAAGAAGAGCGGTTCATGTATGTTAACAAGAGGTATGAACTACGGTATTAAATGAAATCGAAGCAGTGATATAGCCAATACAAATTAAAATTTCACTCGAATTTCAGATTTATAATTCATATATATATACTCTATTTCGTACTTTTTAAATCATAATACTTACTTCCCCACAAAATTCTCCAAAACACTACTTTTTCCAGCACTCTGCCCTCCTATTACTGCTATCTGAGGCAAATCGAGTGATAAATTAACTCCAAGCTTTGTAAAAGCATCTTGTAATCTATTTACAATGGGAATCAAGTTTTCCATTCCAATGTTCCCAGTCATTTTTGCACAATTTCAAGCAATTTCCATTACAGATACACAAGCAAACAATTATGCGTGCTGCCCACTAACGCATCACTGCCGTTAGAAGGAGGCGGAGAAAGATCAATGGTCACTTGGTGGTTGGTACATGTTCTTAATCCGCATGCGCAAAGGAAAAAAAAAAATCTTCAATAAATCCTATTGCAGTATAGCGTTATTTTAAAACTATAAATGATTGAAAATATAGACAATTGCTTCTCATCAGGCATTTTACATAAACAGCAGGTATGTAGCAAAAATGTAACAATTCGCTTCAGCTGCAGATAGTGAGACAACACTTGAATTTAAACGGTTCTTGACAATTAAAGAGCAGGTGGTATGAAAGCAGACATTTTCCGTGTTTCATACATTTACACAATTCGTGAATAAAAAATTCTTTAAATCATTATTCAGATTAAAATCTTTATTTGAATACATGTTTGCGATAAAATATTATCATTGCATTTTAATAAAGCGATTTTGTCAAATATTTTATGGGTGAATGATGCATAAAAGTGAAATGGTCAAACTTCAAATTAGTAAGAACCGCACGTCAGAATTCAAGAAAACTGAAAATACCGCAAGTATAGAATGATTGTAATTAAAATTCCAATTTCTTAAACTCTGAAAAATAAGAACTACTTAGAATGATCAGAAATTTGACCTGAATACACGTGAAGCAATGTTTGGCTAACGGGATATAGTTGTTAAACTATAGAACTTGATAAAAAAAATGGAGGCTAGGTCGCATTTGAAACTAATTAACTCGCACCGCATATTAAGCTCCCGTTATTACTCTGCGTCTGGAAGCCAGTGGCGTAAATAAAGGTATGCAACGAACGCAATCGCATAGGGGCCCGAAGGCTTAGGAGGCCCTTAAATGTCCTGCTGAACTAAATTTACATGTTTAAACTTAAAATACGGATTCCGTTGCATGTATATAGAAGCTTTAATTCATTTTCCTTTGATGAGTTCGGAATCAGCATTTCAATAAAAGAAGATTAATTATTATTTTTATTTTTTTTCCCTTTTGCTTTTCATTTTTACATTCATTGCACTACTATAAATTCTTATTTTAATTTGATATTTTGGATTTGTGTTAGCCCCTTTTACACGATTGTATATAGTTGAGGAATAGCTTGATTGACTCCAATTTACTTTTAACTTTAGAATCTTAAGTATATGTAGAAATAGAATTCGTTTTCTTGAGTTTTTAAGGGCACCCCCCTATATGGTCAC